TATTCAACTCTATCTAAGGTAGGCCCACTTATTTACAGGCCTACTACATACATCAGTATCGGCACACCTCAACCGACTTTGCTTATTAATGATCGATGACTTAATCTCTATTTCATTTCCATTATTGAAATGGCCCCGAACACAAATATATATATATATATATATATATATACACCAACTTTAAATTATAAATGCATACTGTATAAATAAATTTAACTATTGACATTATGTATTTATACTCCATATATATATATATATATATATATATATATATATATATATCTATATATATATATACACATACACTCTATAATAACTTTGTACATATTTCCTATATATGCTATATAATCTGTATTTACTATACACACTAACATATTTCTATATATTTATATTGTCCAAATAGCAAGGCAGTAAGGAAAGTCTGCATTATTTTCTTAATTAAGAAGGTAGGGAATACCCACAATGCATTTTCCTTACCTTCTCTTATTAATCTTTCCTGCATCATGAGCGCAGTTAAGCTCTTCATAAATTAGACCTTCTTGAAAATGGATCCACGTAATATCCTTCCCCTTCTTCTTGATCTTCCAATCTCTCTTTGCCCCTGATTTTGATGAGCATGTAGGACCCTCTGATCGGTGTATTTAGATATTTCATCTAGTGTGGTTTTAGGTTGTCCTCCTTGGTCCTTGACAACAGCTGTCAACAAACAACTCAAATTGAGCATTCTGATGTTGCTATGACTACTTTTGGTTTCATATCAGAGAATATAAATGATGTGATAAATGGCTTTGTGTTGTGTAGGGAATCTCAAAGCTTCTGAATGATATAAATGTAGCAATGATAGAGAAATTCCTGATTTCATATCAAACAAGAATATTTACTACAGTAGAGCTGAGCAGTTTTTTTCACTTAGATTTAATAAAAATACTGGTTCTCACATTTGTACTAGGATTAGACTATACCTTTAAATATATCTGCCCAAATATAATGTGACCCTACAATGGTGTCATACAATAAAAAAAAATCCTTACCAGGCATTTATGTAGGGTTAATGTTCTTTTTTTTTTTCCATTGAATTTTAAAATATTCATTACCTATAAATACCAATACCAGCCCCGACCTGACCATATGCTATGAAACCAACTTGACAGATCAGAGCTGGCAGTGCTGACCTGTTGGAGTTGTTATTGTCACATTCTTTAACATCACAGCAGCTGAACAATATACAGCGCAGAGGTAAGGTGTTATAAGCTATGATTTCTTAACTATGTTCTTTGTTATGTGTCAGTCACCCACTGAGATGAGCCATTGGCAGTGGTGGAACTACCACGGTCGCAGGGGTCGCAGCTGCGACCGGGCCCATCACTCCAATTGGCCCAGCCATCCTGCAGACCCCTGTGTCGGCGGTACCCGCCACCATTTGTTACAGCCCCATGCGGCGTGGTATAACAGCCGGGGCCACACGTTAAGGGGCCATGCTGTTAGGGCCACCCCATGGTTATGGATTTCCAGGGGGCCCAGTCAATGCTGCGGAGCTTTAACATCGCGACCAGGCCCCCTTTTATGAGGACAGGGGCTGGGAGGAAGTGACTGCCCCAGTCACTTCATCCCTGCAACTACCAGGAGCCGTGCGAGAGGAAGGAAAGGAAGGAGACAGAGTGGGAACTCTGACTCCCATCAAGCTGAGCCACCACTGGATTCCAGGGAAGTCACCCTCCTGCATCTAAAAGGTAGGAAACAGGAGAGTGACTACAATTTTTTGTATATGTGTGTGTGTTTGTTTATATGTATGTATGTATGTATGTGTGTGTGTCTGTATGAATGTTTCTCGGTATCTGTGTCTGTATGTCTGTGTGTGTGTCTGTATGTGTATCTGTATGTGTGTGTGTGTGTGTGTTTGTATGTATGTGTGTATGTATGTGTGTGTTTATAGTATGTATGTGTGTGTTTGTATGCATGTGTGTGTGTTTGCATGTATGTGTGTGTCTCTGTATATGTGTGCTTGTCTACATGTGTGTCTGCATGTGGGAGGGCAACAAGGGGAGGGTAGACATATGGGAGGGTGGCGGGGAGTAGACGTAAGGGGGGACCCAGGGCAATTTTTGCACCAGGGCCCTGTGGTTTCTAGTTATGCCTCTGGCCGTTGGACAATGCATTTAAAGACAATGGTATGGAGAGGAAGTGAAAATTAAGGGGAAATGATGATGGGTGTTTAAATTCAATACTAAAAACTGAAAAGATTTTAATTTGGAGATGATATTATTAATATAATGACAAAACCTATAAAATGTACCATTCTAACGTTAAGAATTGAAACATATATTCTTAACATTACAGCTTTTTATCACTATTTATTCTACCATACATCCAAGCCCTATCTTAAATTTTAAATGACATAAGATTTTCTTACCTTTAATTCCTTAGCGTGCCAGTTTTTTTAAAATCCAGTGAATAATGCTGATTTCCGACAGCACTGGCAATTCTCATACTTATTAAATGAGGGAGGTGGCAAATAGCCAGGTGAGCAGGAGTAGGGGAGCACCTCTCCTTTCAGTCACTACATGTACCATGGCCGAGTGGACTGTGGGTAGAGGATCTACACACAGTCCACTGACAAAAGTGCACACTAAGAGCGCTGAACAATTTCCTGTCAGATTGGTTTGAGGAAACAGATGATCCTCTACCTGTGGTTCACTCCACCACGCTACATGAAGGTACATAGTGACACACAGAGGGACTGAGGTGGGGGCATAGGGACACAGAGAGGGCTGTAGGTGACAAAGAGACACACAGAGATGTTGGGGGAGATAAAGAGACACACAGAGGACTGGGGGGTACAAAATACACACAGAGGAGTGGAGGGACATAGTAGTTTCGGTTTTATGCCGCAGTGCAATGCGACACACTCACACATATTTCTACATAGAGCAATATAGAGAGGACAAAGGCAGTTCAGCGAGCACCAGACTTCCATGTAACAAGAGGAAGCATCACTATTAACATTGTCACCCCAGCCCTGCCTAATGCACATTGGTCCTACAGGTCTGGTATCCTTCCTGGGTTAACCTAGTTTGCTGCTTGCTTTGCATACATGGTGGGATCCCAGTCAGCAAAATAATGCAAGAGATCTCCTATCCTTTATTGTTCTCTTCTGTGAAATCTTTTTTATTTTGCTAGTTTTTATTTAATGATTTTAACAGTATTTGAGTGAAGGTCTGAGGGGATATGGGTATACGAGGGAATATGTCCTAGTATGAAAAAGAAGTGGATGGGAGAGTAGCCTGTTATGAAGAAAGTGTGTGAGTTTGCAAGATGGGAAGAAAGACGAGCCACTATGTTGAGGATTGTCCCCAGAGAAGTAGGTTGTTTAGTTGTATTAAAAGACCACTATGTTTATAGAAGAAAGGGTTAATCCTAGCTGGACCTGGCACCCAGACCACTTCATTAAGCTGAAGTGGTCTGGGTGCCTATAGTGGTCCTTTAAATCTCAACCCTATTAATAAATATCCTGTTTAAGAATCTTTCTGCCAGGCTGATTACTGTAGAAACATCTGTTTGGACTGGACATTTGTAAAGGGCGGAGTTAGTAAGATGACCATGCCCACCTGGCGTATGGTAGAAGCTTACATTAAACCAAGACTTAGAGGCAACTCATGTGTAACATGTCACACCTTTCAGAGGAGCTCTGGAGTCACAGCTTCAAAAGAAGATTTCATGTTGCAAATGTCCTGACATCTATCACATTACTATATAATTTAAATAACACCTTTTTGCATCTATCCTCTACAATCAGAGTGGCCATACCACTCTGTATCTGTGTGTCAGTGTGTGTATGGGTCAGTGTGTATCTGTGTGTCAGTGTGTGTGTGTGTCAGTGTGTGTATGAGTCAGTGTGTATCTGTGTGTCAGTGTGTGTATGAGTCAGTGTGTATCTGTGTGTGTATAAGTCAGTGTGTATCTGTGTGTCAGTGTGTGTATGAGTCAGTGTGTATCTGTGTGTCAGTGTGTGTGTGTGTGTCAGTGTATGAGTCAGTGTGTATCTGTGTGTCAGTGTGTATCTTTGTGTGTGTATCTGTGTGTCAGTGTGTATCTGTGTGTCAGTGTGTGTGTATGTGTCAGTGTGTGTATGAGTCAGTGTGAATCTGTGTGTCAGTGTGTGTATGAGTCAGTGTGTATCTGTGGGTCAGTGTGTATCTGTGTGTCTGTTTGTGTATGAGTCAGTGTGTATCTGTGTGTGTATGAGTCAGTGTGTATCTGTGTGTCACTGTGTGTAGGAGTCAGTGTGTATCTGTGTGTGTGTATCTGTGTGTCAGTGTGTGTATGAGTCAGTGTGTATCTGTGTGTGTGTATCTGTGTGTCAGTGTGTGTATGAGTCAGTGTGTATCTGTGTGTGCATACATCCCAGCAAATGCTCAAACTACATACAAAGACATTCAAACGCAAACACTAAATACTAGTACACCACTGATTTCAAATAGCAACACTACATACAATCATACAACTACATAAAAATGCCATTACACACAAATACATACGTACATTCAAACACACAAAACATGCTTACATTTGTCACCAGTCATTTTTTTTTCTATTAAGAAGTATCTATTTATAAAAAAATACAAAAAAAGTAATGCTATTTATTAACAAATACTATAAGGTATGTAATGAATTGATAACTTTGCATGCTGTCTTGTTTTTTTAATGCTCTCTCTGATTGCCTAATGTTTGGACAGCCTTAGTCTATGAGTTGATTCCCAATGCTTTACTTTTTAATGAATAACCCTACAGCTTAGTTTAGGTTTATCACATGGGGAGCAGCTAACCATTGCCCGTTCATATATATATCTAGGTAGGATAAACATTCAGGCAAATACTGTACTACCCAAAAGAAGGCGAATTGCCCATGGCTAGTTATACCTAAAATAAACCACATGGACAGGTTCATTTTGTGAGCTGTTTATGTTGTCAATAAAGTTATCAGGTTCAGCAGTAGTGACGTAGTTGAAGCATCGCGGAAGTGACGCATGGCGGGAAATCTGTAAGCTGTGCTGCCTTGTCTCCAGTTTGGCTGCTCGGGGTTTCCGTAGCTGAGTACACGGTCAGAGCAAGATGCCGGCCCTGCTGGAGAGCTGCCAGTCCTTGTTCGGCTCCTCGGACCTGTACACGGTATTGAGTGTCCGGAGAGAGTCCAGGGATGGGGAGATCCGCCGGGGCTATCACAAGGTGTCCCTGCAGGTACACCCGGACCGGGTCCCGGATGGAGAGAAGGAAGAGGCAACCCTCAAATTCCAGGTATGGCTGCTGATACTGATACCGGGTATGGCTGCTGATACTGATACCGGGTATGGCTGCTGATACTGATACCGGGTATGGCAGCTGATACTGATACCGGGTATGGCAGCTGATACTGATACCGGGTATGGCAGCTGATACTGATACCGGGTATGGCAGCTGATACTGATACCGGGTATGGCAGCTGATACAGATGCCGGGTATGGCAGCTGATACAGATGCCGGGTATGGCTGCTGATACAGATGCCGGGTATGGCTGCTGATACTGATGCCGGGTATGGCAGCTGATGCAGATGCCGGGTATGGCAGCTGATGCAGATGCCGGGTATGGCAGCTGATGCAGATGCCGGGTATGGCAGCTGATGCAGATGCCGGGTATGGCAGCTGATGCAGATGCCGGGTATGGCAGCTGATGCAGATGCCGGGTATGGCAGCTGGTACTGATGCCGGGTATGGCAGCTGGTACTGATGCCGGGTATGGCAGCTGGTACTGATGCCGGGTATGGCAGCTGGTACTGATGCCGGGTATGGCAGCTGGTACTGATGCCGGGTATGGCAGCTGATACTGATGCCGGGTATGGCAGCTGATACTGATGCCGGGTATGGCAGCTGATACTGATGCCGGGTATGGCAGCTGATACTGATGCCGGGTATGGCAGCTGATACAGATGCCGGGTATGGCAGCAGATACAGATGCCCGGCACGGCAGCCGATACAGATGCCCGGCACGGCAGCCGATACAGATGCCGGGCACGGCTGCCGATACAGATGCCGGGCACGGCTGCCGATACAGATGCCGGGCACGGCTGCCGATACAGATGCCGGGCACGGCTGCCGATACAGATGCCAGCGTTATTGAAGCATCCTGAATAATCTAGATGGGAAAAAAATGCATGTTATATTTAATTACTCATTAATGACATCTGGAAATGTATTTATTTTTTAATAATTTCATTATACTGATTACGACCTATAACTTGTTTAGCCCTTCTTTCAGGGTGATGCTCACCCCCCTCCTTTTTTAATTTTTTTTTATTTTCTTCAATGTGTAGGAAAGATTTTGTAATTCTCATGGTAATCCACTTCAGTCCTGACACACTATGCATTTTTATTTGTTTCTCCACGTGCTATGTTCAGTCATAGACCGTAGATGACAGGGTGAGAAGATGGATGGATGCAGAATCCCAAAATCAGATTAGAGGTAAAGGACCACTGTAGACACTTTTACAACTTCATCTTATTGAACTTGTTATAGTGCCTGCAGTCCTCCCCCTAAATTGTATTAATAAACTAATTAGAAGACTTGGAAGCGCTGTTTAAAGCCACACCTCCAAGTCGTCTGGGTACAAGAGTTGTGAATCTTGTATCCCTGCTGTCATACCGTAGTGTCATGCACAGTGCCGTCTTAGTTTGCCATAAAGAATAATTGAATACAGTGATTCTCTGTGGAGGAATTGTAGGTGCATAGCAGCGCATGAGCCTGCTTGGATTGGCCTGATGACGTAACTAGAGGAGGTTGCAGCAGCGCCAAGGGAGAGTCTGAGCTGGGAAAAAGGGGAGTAATTAGTTGACTTTGTGTTTTTTACTTATAAAAACATTTTGTTTTAATAAATATGGAGCTTTTAATTAGGGACACTTGAGAGCTATGGTTTATAGCAAGCCGTAACACCTGATTTATTTAAAATATCTCTCTCAAAAGGATAAGCTGTAAATTAAACATCTCTATTTTCATTTGAGGGTATTTTAATGTTTATCTGGTATGGTGAAGGGGTTGGGAAGCAGCAATTTTTACTCGGAGGTAAAATTGTTTCTAACGCCCCCTACACAGGGTTCCGAATGATCAATCAAATTACAGGAACCATTTTTGTCAGAAATGGAATGTTCTGGCACTGCATGTCCATGCTACATATTTTAATTTTTTTTCTTATTTTTAATATTAACCTGTTTCATTATTATTTTTTATTTTTTTTATTGTGCATATATAACACAGCTGGTCTTGCCACAACAGCAATATCAGGCCTGTTCGAGACACCGAATTAAGATATTAATGTGGCATTCTGGAAATTGGCTCTTTGTTTATTGTCTTAAAAAAAATCGAGTTGAACGAGCCTGTAAGGGAACTGGCAACTGACATATGGGGTAATATTGTTAAGACTGTAAACATGCTCAGCATAAATATGTCAGGAGAAAGAGGTCAAGCTAAATAAGCTGAGCTGATGATGTACTTTCTATATAGGTCATGAGTATTAACACACAAAATAAAACTGACAAAAACATATTTAAGTATATACAATCTTTATAATTGTGGTGACTGCTCTGTTTGGTTCTATCTACCTACTGTTTGTTGGAAAAGAGACATGCCCTTCTTTGATTACACTAAGCAGCAGGCATAGTGCCAGACTAGTTTTGACTTTGGCCCTTACGCTGGGTCTCTTACGGGTTAGGAGGAGTGCAGCTCCCCTATGGGCGACCTGGATTTAAAGCATTTAACTTGGTATTAAGAGTTTGGTTGATAAACTAAAAGAAAAGGTTTCCAAAAATACAATTTTAAGTAACTTCAAATCGCTAGTAATTTAGTCACTCTTCTCAAAAGGTGGGTAATGAGGTTGAGCATCCCAAAATTCAGGGGGTAACTGGCGCAAGTGTATCGGATGTCGCTCCTTTTGGGACTAATGTAATGATTCTTGTCGGGTCCCAGTGGTGGTGGCTCCTGGAAGACCTTTTTTGAAGTGAGGATGCGAGTAGGCAGAGTGTCTGTCTGTAACAGGGTGACTGCTTCCTGTATGTCCGAGATGGCGTGGGTTGTTTGAGTGTAGGACTTGTAGTGTTCATGGTGAGCACCAACGGTATTTTATGTGAAAGGTTGAAGGGACCGTCTCCACTGTAGTGTGTCACCCGATATATATCTGCATAGAGGGACAGAGGCATGCTTTCCAAGTTATATGGGGTGTTCTCTTTATAAACAGCGAGCAACGCCATCTTGTCTGTCGTGTTGCGGAACCTCACCACAAGGTCTCTGGGAGCCGACACAGGTGCTCTCCAGGGCTTGGGTATTCGGAATATTGCTTCTATGTTGATGTTCTTGGCTTGTATGGGTGCCAGTTGTGCTCCAATCAACCTCAGCATTGGGTGTGGGAGTTCTTCTAGAGGGATGTTCTCCATCACTCCATGGCTCTTTAAATATCTGTGTCGTCCTTAGGTCCTTGAGTGTTTCAAAGCGCAGTTCATTCTTGGCCTGCTGAAACTTAAGTGTCTGTACCTCATGTTGTAGCTCAGCAGTGGCTTGGGTATGTTGCATAGTGGTATTTTCCACTATCCCAATGCGGCTGACCAGGCCTGTGAGATCCACACAAAGTTGCACCATGTCTGGAGGACCTTCTGTAGATCACCCAGCATGGTTTTCAATATCTCCGTAGTCACTGGTCCAGTTTTGCCAGTTCTTTGAGCTTTCTGTGGTGGCTTTAAGGAGGGTAGATCGTAGAGGGCCTCGTTGAGGTCCAGATCCTCCGAGGATATTTTTATTTTTCGACACACTGGGGGGAGCTAATAGACAAGGGGCATCAGGACTGTAGTGTTCGGAATACATACATGTATTCCTATAAATAGTGTTGTGGATTTCCAATTTTTTAAAAAATTTTTTTAAACCTCACAAATACATTGAATAAGTAAACACATTTTAAAAAACATAGCAAGTGACATTAAACATTTAACTTCTATAGTTGTGATTATATTAACGATTTTGATTGTTCTGCATTATCACTCTTTTTGTCATTTAGATTTTGGGCAGCAAAGTAAAAGATACAAAAGGAGTATATGTAAAAGTCTTTTACTGTTCTATAGCTCACTAATGGAGGTACAGATTTGAATACTGACCCCTGCGGTGTTTCAACCCTGATAAGGTTCAGCTTTGTAGGAGCTGGTATACATGTTGGTGTAATTTCTATGTAGCAGAATGACTGATTGGATAGGCATAGGTGGTACCAGGCAGGGTAGCTTTTAAAATCCTTACTGCAAATCTAAATATTAACAGAGCCACAGTGGCCACGATGTAGGATCTGTGATATTGTGACTGCCTTATACACAAAGCTGCAGTATCTCAGAGAAGGCATATTTACTGGTACCCCAGCTGACAATGGGTGAATGAAACCCTCCACATTCCAGAAGCATTTCTTTCCTCCCGGCTACTTTATATTTATCTGTAATGCCTCTGGTGCTCAGTAGGATGCTCTAAAATATAACTGATCACCTATTTCTGTAAGCACTAGCATTGGATAGATAATACTATACATTGAGTAGGAAATCATTTATTTTTATTGCAATAATCAGGGCTCGACGAATTCCAGGCGCCAGGTGGCCATAGGATTAGCAGCCCTTTAGCTAAAGCGGCCGGATTGGGGGGGACATAGGAGGCGGCCGGCCGGCCCGAGGCTGCGTGGAGGCGGCCGGCTGGAGCAGGGATCTTCGTGCGGCTCCTCTCTGATCCCTCGCACTGTATAGTGACGTGGGAGCCGGAATATGACGTCATCCCGGCCCCGGCATTACTACAGGGAGCAGAGAGGAGCCGCAGGTAGATGACTGCTCCCACGCACAGGTAGTGCGGCCCCACTGGACCCCAGGGACAGTCCACTCCGCTCTCCCAAAGGTAGGGAGGTTGGGTGGATTCAAATTGAACATGTCAGTGTGTGTATGTCAGTGTTTGTGAAAATGTGTGTGTGTCAGTGTTTGTGAAAATGTGTGTGTGTCAGTGTTTGTGAAAGTGTGTGTGTGTGTCAGTGTTTGTGAAAGTGTGTGTGTGTCAGTGTTTGTGAAAGTGTGTGTGTGTGTCAGTGTTTGT